AGATGAGGCAGGATAAAGAGGGATAATCCCCCTCGATCCCAAATCATTGAGGCCAATTTCTAGCCATGGAATAATGGCGCGATTTCATGTAATTTATGTTGTTCATGTTATGTTTATTGTTGGTTAGGTTTGGCGAGTGTTGGTGTGTTTTATTTGTGTTTTTAGTGTGTTTTTTTAGACATTTCATTCACTGTATAACATAATAATGTCTGATCATATAATCACATTTTTTTATTAATAATAAAATGTTTTGTTTTTGTTTGAGTTTTAATAAAAAATGTCTGAAAGTTTGTCGTGATCAGAGGTAAGTAGTTTTTTTATGGATATCAACACAACGAAAAATTTAAAGTTGCATAATAAATCTCTATTACAAGAATTATTCAGATTGGTTTAGTAAAATTATTTACTTGTAATATTTTTTTATTCGCCGTGAAAGCTAATACAATATAGAAAGCACTGAAACTCTATAATCATTTTCACTCTTTTTTTTTTTAAAAAAATATGTACTGAAATTTGAAATTTTTTCAACAAACATTTTAAAAAGTTACAGTATCAAAATTATTTCTTATTTTAAGTAGGAAGACTATTAGAGCATTTAAAAGTGTCTTTAATGCTTGAGTGATTTTAATGCTTTTTATCAAATGTACTTATTTTCTCATGGTGACAAAAAAAATTATCTACGTGAAAATTATTTTACAAAATCAATTTCTGAGTGATCTGTGTAGGGTGAGATTTGTTATGTAATTTTAAATTTAGCGGCGGCAGAATACCTAAAACAAATATTGAGTAGGTAGGTATATAGTTGTAGAGCGTACAACTAGATGGCGCTTGCATCTTTTACCGGCTACAGGTAATTTAACTCACTGTATTACCGATAATTCCTAGAAAAGGAAAGCAATAGAAGTTGGAGAAAGTGTCAACAGTTAGCGCTGTTAATGACCACGAAATCTGTTCAAGTTTCCTATCTATAGTATCATTTATCTAGGATCATAAAGAACACCTAACCTAAAATTCTATCCCCTTCCTACTGACCACAGACTATAATTTCTGACATAGATAGTTTCTGACGTCTCGTCTCGCGAATGCAGCTAAGAGCTCGCCCTCTGGCGGTGACACGTGATACTAGCGAAACAAGGTAAACATTTCTTCTGTGTGTGACATTTCGTTTTGTATTTTATTTAAAACTGTGTTTAGTGTTCGTTTTTTGAACACTGTTATTTTAAAATTAAGAATATAGTGTGAGGAAAACTTCAGCAATTATGGATAGAAAGAACAAACTGTCAAACTATTATTGTTCAGTTCAAGGTTGCTCTTCATGGTCTAAGAAAAATCCAGAATTAAGTTTTCATCAAACCATTGAAGAAATTTTCAAAATATTATTGCCGATAGATAATACTCCCTGAATTTCATGAGGGTTGTTAGTAAGTAAGGGNTCAAGTTATGGCCGAATTATTGCCCGAATTGTGTGAAAAAGTCTTCGAAAATTACCTCAAAAAGATTGAGTCCTGCAAACGGTTCCGTGGAGGACATTTGAATGATATTGTTTTTCACGCATAATGGCATAGTCCAAACTTTATTATGAAATAAAAGTACAATCGAAATTTAAATATTCAGTGTGTTTTTTTAAACTTTACTTTCCCAAGGAGAAAATGGATAACCCGTTAAATATTGGATAGGTATATAGTTGTAGAGCGTACAACTAGATGACGGTTGCATCTTTTACCGGCTACAGGTAATTTAACTCACTGTATTACTGATAATTCCTAGAAAAGGAAAGCAATAGAAGTTGGAGAAAGTGTCAACAGTTAGCGCTCTTACTGACCACGAAATCTGTTCAAGTTTTCTATCTACAGTGTCATTTATCTAGGGTCGTGTCCCAGCATTTGACGTGTACGCATCGCATCACAAAATATTTTTAGTAATTATTTACTTTATGCGAGTTAAATTTTTATGAAATTTTACCAATTCCCGTCATTTCGAGATAGCTGAAAATTAATGAAATATTTTTTTCAATTAAAAAAATCGCAAACAAAACTAATTTCAGATTCAGTATCCGTAGTCAATTAACTTTTATTAAAGATCGTGGTTATTTGACGTAACCATCTCGAAATGTAGTAATATGCTAAGAAACAGAAAAATTAATAAAATTTTTAAATAATGATGAAAGCAGAACACCTAGGCTACAGAAAAATAAAATAGTTTATCATGTATTAAAAAACTTTCTGAATGTGAACATATTTGAAAATTTGCATGAACATCAATTTGATAATTTGCCTAACAATTGTAATCATTTAATAGAACTTGTAAGGGCTGAATGTGAAAAGTATATCGATGTACGAATAAATCATGAAGTCAAATTATTTAATTCGGTAAAATCTACGAAAAGACAAATATTAAATAAATTAATATTATTTAGAGGATAATAAATATATTTAAATTATTTTGTAGTTTTATTTAATATGACACTAAAATATACTATTTTCTGAATTACAAACTTAAAATTGAATATTTGTCATAAGATGCAATATAATGTTTAATATGTAATAAAAATATTACTTAATCCGGATCTGCTTAAAGATGCGCGCGATCAGATTGCCTTCCACACTCCACTTCCCCGGATTTTGCATTCACTGGTACCCGTGCATTGGAATTAGATACGGCCAGTCTAGGTGGTCTGTGG